GCAATCACCAGATCTCAATCCAATTGAGCATTTGTGGGACGAAGTTAAAAGAGCCATCAGGCAGCTGGTTCCACAACCATCAAATCTCACAGAACTGGACAGTGCTATCCATCAGGCATGGTGTCCGATTCCTCGCATCACCTTTCAACATCTTGTGGACTTAATGCCAAGAAGAATCGCCACAGTATTGAAGGCAAAAGGTGGCCCAACAAAGTACTGATGGGGTGGTCATCATAATCTGGCCACTCAGTGTATTTTATATGGAGCCAAAGCATTCCAGAAGGCATAAAAAGTGAAGCTCACACAGGGCAGGTTTCTAAAATCACGCAACTTAATCTCAAACAGGCTTTGTAAAGTCTGCTGAGGCCAAGGCAAAGTTAAATTAAGATTTGTGTAACTTTATAAACTTTATGTATTTTAAAGACATTGCTAACTCGCTTTGGATTCTAGTCTCAAATTCTTCTAACTCTTTATTCTAAATGAGCATTTAATATAGTTAAGCTTGACGTTTTGCAACAAAATAGCTATAATATTTTTCCTGGTCATCTTTCTGGGTAACTTGTGAGTTATGTAAGACTACATTTAAAAATGTTCTGTATGCCATAATTATAATTTGAGTATATAATATTTAAAAGGTAAGCTATTACAAATTAATTCTAACTTGCCGAAACCGGTTTGGCTCAGTGGATAGAGCGTCGGCTTGCGGACTGAAAGGTCCCAGGTTTGATTCCGGTCAAGGGCATGTACATGGGTTGCCGGCACATCCCCAGTGGGGAGTGTGCAGGAGGCAGCTGATCGATGTTTCTCTCTCATCGATGTTTCTAACTCTCTATCTCTCTACCTTCCTCTCTGTAAAAAATCAATAAAATATATTTTAAAAAAAATTAATTCTAACTTGTATTTTCACATACACATTCAATCTTTTAATAGTAAAATGAAAATAATGTACAAGATACAACTAAAAAGTAATAAGACTCTTTATGAGAGTGCAAATGAAATAATCAGTGTTTCTGCCTTCTTCTTTCTTGCTTGCAGGATGTTATCAATCTCCAATTCCAGAACTCAATTCACTGCAGCCTACAAACATGCCTTTGCAAGTGGCCTTTAATAATTAGGATTAAGTCATGTTCAGTTAAAAACTCTCTTGAGCATGGGTAAAAGCATGTTTGATATGAATATGCATTTAATTAATAATTTAGCATAGTGTTCTTTATTCACTACATTTTAGATTTTTTTAAATATATTTTATTAATTTTTTACAGAGAGGAAGGGAGAGAGATAGAGAGTTAGAAACATCGATGAGAGAGAAACATCGATCAGCTGCCTCCTGCACACCTCCCACTGGGATGTGCCCACAACCAAGATACATGCCCTTCACCGGAATCGAACCTGGGACCCTTCAGTCTACAGGCTGACGCTCTATCCACTGAGCCAAACCAGCCAGGGCACATTTTAGATTTTTGAAATGCAGAAATTTTAACTTGAGAATTTAAACCTGTGATATTATCTTCAATTTAATTTTGGTCTGCTAAAAAATGTGATTATACCATTCCAACTATAAACTCTCTCTTTTCTCTCAAAAAATACAATTCATCCAGAATTTGAGTTTGTTTTAGCAGTAGTTTAGAGTAGATTTCTTTACATTCACTAATTGAAATTGTCTCTCATGTTAGCTAATTTCTCTTCTCTTAGCAAAACTTTACTGCCATTTACTTCAAGTACTCTAACTGCTCAACGAGATGCACAATGTTCCTGTCTGGTACAGAGCAGAATCATCAACCTGTGTGTCACAAAAATAGTTTCTTCTGCCTTATACAACTTAAATTTTCTGTGAAGTGAGCTCTGAGGCAATTGCTTCTTGGAAGAAGAGCTTTTGAGAATTGCTTTCTTCAACCTCCAGTCATTTGCTTTTTTTCCTTTGCATAGTAATTCCTTTAAATTTTTGTTCCTCTTTTCTTTGTAATGTTCTCTCATTCCTGGTACATTCATACTCTCGCCTGATCCACTTGAAGGTTAACTTCTATGCAGAAAGCAAAAAAATTCTCAAAAGTAATTATATTAAATCTAATACATACATCAAAATTTTATATGGCAGAATTCTTGGTAACTTAAACTAGCCCTGTACAGTTGAATCGTATATTCACTAACTAATTTAATCTAACCTACTTACCAAATATGTCCCATAAATATTCCATATTTTCTTATCATTGATTAGATAATTATGAGGCAAAAATACATAAGTAAATACATTATGGGCACTATTATGATTTAGGACATTTTATGTTAAGCAGTGGTTAACTGCTTAATTTTGCTCCCTAGGGTATGTTTTGCAATATCTGGAGACTTTTTTTTTTTTTGTCACAGCTGAGGAGGTACTACTGGAATCTAATGAGTAGAAGCCAAATGTTCTGCTAAACATACTGCAATGCATAGGAGAGTCGGAACTTATGATTCTCATAATTCATCAAATTTATGTTTTTTCATGATGACAAAGTCCCACATTTGATTTTTAGTTCCAGTAGCTCCTCTATACATTGAGGCGTGCTGTTCTCCACTTAGTCACATCATGTACTTGATGAAACATATATAATAAGAAATCTGTCCATAATCTAATGGCATGGACCACTCTATCTAAAGACAGAAGAGGATGGAAAGCACTTCCAGGCATCATATGTCTAGTAAATGGTGGCTATTACTACATTATAAATTATAATTGTGGACAGAAAGGAGAAGTGAGTGTATTCCGTGTAATTGACACATTAATGTAGTACTTAGCATCCAACATATTCTGCTTCAATTTTAATGGCAAAAATGATTGGATGGTTCTTTTCTTCTTATCCTGTTTAAATAAATGTTCTTGTTTCTGTGGCTGACCTGACACATTAACCCAAGAGACCATAATCATTACAAATTATCATTATGTCATATACTTAGTACACCTGTTTTTTTAATAATTTCTCAAACTATGCTTGTTTGAACCAGCATAGTAGTTAGGAGAGTTACTTCTGGAAACTAACAAAGTTAGTTAGATGACACTGAATGACATCTCTATCATTTACTTCTAACTTACACAGTTTCGGCAAGTTACATAACCTATAAAACCTCCAGTTTCTTATTAATAATATAGCAATGATAATAATCATCATCATCATCATAATAATACTCTATGGGTTTTGTGATAATTAATTAAATATGCACATGAAGCTATAAGTAAAATGTCTGACACATAATATGTGTTTAACAAATTTAATTATAATGAATTTCCAAAATACTATGTCACACAGCTAATTTAATAACCCAGATCTCTGTCCCAGTATATCCAACACCTACTTGTTATCTTTACTTGGAAGTCTAAAAGCACACCAGACTTAATATGTCAAATCCAACCCCTTTCCCGACAAAACCTGGTTTTCTTCCTCCTATGCTCCCTGTGTAGTGAAGGTGTCAATAGAATTTATTCTAATCAGAAACCCAGGCGTCATCATCACCTCTAGCTTCACAATTATTCTCCACTTCCAGTGAATCACTAAGGGCTTTCTAATCTACCTATTTAAATAGCAGTAGAGGTGGGTCCACTTCTCTCCAGTTCCACTGCCACTCCTTTATTTTAGGCCAGCATTATCTCTCTAATGGAAAGTGATAGCAACAGTCTAAATCATATCCACACAGAAACTAGAGTGGTTTTTCAAAAATGAAAATCAGATCATGTGTTTTCCCTGTTTAAAGGCTCTCAGTGGCTCCCATTTCTCTTAAATTAAAATGCAAAACACTTAAGTTAAAAATCGGTCTAAATTAAAAATGTTTATGTTCTTTACCATAAGAATTTAAAATAAATAACATACAAAATGAAAACATAAAATGTTAGGAAATATGACTATATTTATTTTACTCGTAATTTAATTCTCAATAGCTTTCCTTCAAAGGTAGTCTCTCTCTATCCCTTGCTCCGGAATTGTCTGTTCTTGCTGGTGCAATATGCCCTTGTTCAATATGCCTACAAGGTAACGAAGCACCAAAGCCATTCTTAAACTTTTAGCTTTACCTTCCAGGCTTTTTTTTTTTAATCAGAATTTTTAATATTTTTTATTGATTTCAGAAAGGAAGGGGAGAGATAGAAACATCAATGATGAGAGAGAATCATTGATTGTCTGCCTCCTGCACACCCCATACTGAGGACTGAGCCTGCAACCCAAGCCTGTGCCCTTGACTGGAATTAAACCCAGAACCTTTCAGGCCACAGGTCGTTGCTCTACTCACTGAGCCAAACCATCCAGGACTACCTTCCAGGGTTTTTAGTAACTACTTTCTGCACACTCTTCAGGATATGGGCCCAGCCATTTAGGTTGCAATTCTCTACCTTTCCTATGGGCATTCATGATGGCTGCGCACCCTGATTTGAGCATTCTATTATTTCTTCTTTGTTAGTGTATTTCTGCTCTACTCTCAAGGCACAGCTTAATGCACTTCCTCTAGAGAAGCTTCCTCAAATATTGAGTTAGGGGTATACCGTATACCTCTACAACTTCATGCTACCTAGTACAACCCTCCTTACCCAACTTTTACTACTTAACTCTACTCCTTACAAGTAACCATTTCTGTGTGGCTCACAAGCTTAGAATGTTCCTTAACTTTTAAAAAATAGTTTTAAAAAATCAAAACAAAGTTATTATTTCAGGGCATATGAAAATTTTATGCAATACACAATTCAGTTCCTTTAAATCGTTTATTGGATACATTCACTCCTATTTATTCACATTGTTTTCATTACAGCTTCTATACTCTACCTGTGGAGTAGTTGCAACAAGAATAATACCCCCTAAAAAACCTAAAATATTTGCCATCTGGTGCTTTAGACAAGCTGGTCTATCTTATTAGATGTCAAATTCCTTACGGGAGGAAATGTGTTTCTCCAATTGCATTTCAGATATCTGATGCTCAATAGAAGTTTATTAGCTGATGAGTGAGTTAATGACAAAGTGATGAATGAGTTGGTAATGAATAAATGTAATGAAGACAAAAGTTAATATTTATTTTAGTTGAAAGCAAAGTAAATCAATTTGGCTAAATTCAGAAAAAAAAGGAAATTTCAGAAGAAAATAGATTATATCATAAATAAAATAAAATGTTAAAAAATTAGGCCTAGGAAAAGATAGGAACTAGAATGGCTTTTGAGATCTTTTTTTTAATCTTTATTGTTGAAAGTATTACATATATCCCCTTCCCTCCGGCCCCTGCATTGACCC